ATACCAGCTCACGCACTGCATCCCCCTTCTATAGTTCCTGCCCCTCATGGAACTCTCCCCCAGAGACCTCATGAGCCTCATCTGTAGCACTTGACTCTTCGTCTCACATTGTGGTCTCCTCCCTCGTCACCTCACACAAAGCAAACCCTCTCTCTGCTGATATTTTTATTTCTGATGTCTATCATGTGTGTTGAATAAAAAGCTCTTCAATTAGTGGAGAAATTTCTGTTTCTTTAAGAGATATTTCACTTTTTGTGGTATGTATGTAGCTCCCCAGATACATATTTCTGGAGTGTTAGATCAAATAGGTGTGCAGACTTGGGAATATAGATTCAATATACTTGGGCTGGGAGTGTGGGGCTCAGTGGTAGAGCCCCTGTTTAGCATGCATGAGGTCCTGGGTTAAATTCCCAGCATGGAATAAAATAAATAAATAAATAAATAAATAATGAATAAAATAAATTCACCTCCTAAAAATACAGGTGTGTGGCCTCTACATCACATTGTCCTCTCAGGTTCATAGCCTATTTGTTCATGCTCTGATTTTTAAGCAGTGCAATTAATGTCATTTACCAAAATCAAACCTGGTATTCTTCTTTGTAGAAGGCCTATAGGAGAAATATTGGTTTATGGTATTTTGACCATTGCTAAAGCTGCTTAGGGCAAGTCCCTGCAGTGTTCATTTATGCTGTCTGATGTCCAAACATTCCTTCTGTCTTATCCCTAGACTGGAAGCTAAAATTGCAGATTCTCTTACTCACAGCTCTTTTAGCCAGAGCATGGTTATGGTCTAGGCAAACCCCCAGCTGCCTCAGCCTGGTGAATCTGAAGCAAGTGATAGAAGCAGAGAGTTCTGAATTCAGTGTGGTAGAGACAGAGGCATCAGAGGGAGGTAGTGCTCTGTGGTCAAATGCCAGCATTAGCCACAGGGGCCTAGTGCCAGTGGTATTGGCTGTGGTATTAGCTATGTTGTGGAACCAACTTGACTGGACATAATTTGATCATTACTCTGGATGCTTAGCTTTTTTTCTTGGGTTCTGCCTTGTTTACTTTTCTTTTTTTTTGGTCTTGCTAGGGACTGCACCCAGGGTCTTGGGCATACAAGGCAAGCACTCTACCAACTGAGCTATATCCCTAACCCCTGCCTTGTTTTCTGACTTTTGTTGTTTAACTTCCCCATGAGGTCTGTGAGTTAGCCAGTATCCTTCTACTAAATTTCTTTTCTGCTTAAAGTAAACCCAGATTGTTTTCTGTTGAACTAAGAATTTTGACCAATATAGTCATGAAATAATAATATCCATGTTTGGATTTTAGTAGCTGATTTTGGACTTCAGACTCTTTATTCCTTTTATATTTTGTGACTGCTTTTAGTAGAGTAAGTTTAATTTTGTGGAAAAATGAATAAGGTGTTCTGGATTCCAATCTTAGCCCTGACAGTTACCAGCTGAAACTTTCGAGGCATGATTTAACTTCCTTGAGCCCCTATTTTCTCATCGATAGAAGAGGAACTATTATGGGCCTGTTTTGTGTCTTTGCTAAATTTATATGTTGAATTCCTAACCTCCAGTACCTCAGATGTTACTGTACTCAGAGATAAGGTCTTTAAAGAAATAATTAAAAACACCCACGGTCATTGGCATGAGCCCTGATCTAGTACAATGGTGTCCTTAAAAGAAGAGGAAATTGGGGCACAAATAGGTGGGAGGGAAGTCTATGTGAAGAAACGGGGAGAAGGCTGCCTTCTATGAGATGAGAAGAAAGAAAACAACCCTGCTCACACCTTGATCTTGGGCTTCTAGTCTCTAGGAGAGTGAGAAAATAAGTTTCTGCTGATGAAGCTACCCAGCCTGTGGTTATGGCAGCCTTGGCAAACTAATATGGGGACAGTAAAATTTGTCTCACGGGATGTTGTAAAGATCTAAAGATATAATGTATGTAAAGCATAGGTATTCCAAAGACTGTTCACTCTTTTTCTTTTT